CACACACACACACACACACACACACACACACACACACACACACACACTCGGCGTATGTCCTCGTATTGCATTGATCTAAAAGTGATCAGCTGTTGGCGTCTATCAGGAGTCTTTTTGCTTTGACTGTGTTTACTACCCCTCACACATACAAACACAGCATATGGGTCAATGGGTTGACTGTGTTTACAACTGAATATGAACTGAACCACCACAAATATACACGCACGCTCGGAAAACACATCTCTCTGTCATGACTGTTGTGAACAGAGCGACCACAATTGTTCTCTCTTCAAACAAAAGAAACATTATGGTTTAACATAAAACACATGGCTGGTTATTTGATGGCTTTGTATAGTGATTATAAGGGAGGGAGGGATGGTGGGGGAAGAAAGAGGGAGGGGCAGGGCATGAACTGAAAGAGATTTTAATGATGGAATTACTCCAGTTATTGTAGTAATTATTCTTGCATCTGAAAGAGGGCAGTAGAGAATTTTTTCAAAAATGACGGAAATGCGTTAAGTGCTTTTTTTGAGAAGGTATTTTACATTGATTCTAACGGTGGTGAGAGGTTGATGAAGATAAAAGGGGGTTTAACTTAAATGGGATTTGAAAAGGGAAAGAAAAGCAGAGAATAAAGAACAGATAGAGCAGGAAAGACAGGGAGAGATGAGAAAAGGGAGAATGTTGGGAGCCAGAAAATGAAGGCATGCAGAAAGAGATGCAAGAAAGAAAGCGAAATGTGTACTGCTAGAGGGGATGAATTGCAGTCTGCCGCCTCCCTCATCCATCTCTCTGATACGGGCAGTGTGGTTTTGATGTGGTTGTCTGTTGGCCATTCTCCCCGTCCCTCCCTCTCTCTCTCTCTCTGTCTCTGTCTCTGTCTCTCAGTCTCTCTGATATGGTTTGGGTTTTGATGTGGTCCATGCGTTGGAAGATTCTCACGGATGGTTTCCATAATGATAAAAAAGATTCCCTCCCTGGTTTAAGAGGGTGGGAGAGAAAGAAAAAGAAAAAAAAAAAAAAGGGAAAAAAGTTTCACTTAAGGATGCAACAAACATCCCAACACACACACACACACACACACCCCTGAAAACTCTCTCACAGCTGAGATGTTTCTGATTTGCTGGGGCTGTTTTTATTTGACGAGGTCTGCGGTTTAGGATCGTCACAGATTTCGGCGTTCAAAGACGTTTGTAAATTGAATCAAAGCTTTTCTGTACACATACATCATTGTCAGAAAATGGTATTTGTGTGTTCGTGTGTGTGCATGCGATCCTCAGTATATTATTTGAGCCCTGGAGACACCTTGTATCTCTTAGCGTCTTGATTTCAAGGGATTATGAAAATCTGCTTGATATTTTCGACTCCCAGTTCTTTCATACATGCATGAACAATATATAGTGCATACATGCTTTAGTTATTGTCAACATATCGATGAACAATGAAACAAAAAATAACTTTTTCTGTCACTCTCTCCCTCTTGTCTCTTTCCAATTCTCAGAGATGGTGAGGAAGAAGAATCCCCCTATCCGGAGTGTGGGAGGTGAGCAGGAGGAGGAGGAAGAAGAGGGGAGGAGGCCAGCGGGAGAAGAGGAAGAGGAGGGAGAGGAGGAGGGGAGAGTGGGCGCAGAGGCCGAGCGAATAAACCGACCCTCTGAACCGGAGTCCTCCGACCGGATCAGGGGAGATGGGGAGCAGGAAGAGGAGGAGGAGGAGGAGGAGGAGGAGGAGGGAGAGAGCGAGTGCGTATCCTCATCTGTCTCCCCCTCGTCTGTTGGTGAGCGCTACAGCAACGAGGAGAGACGGGGGAGGAGGGGGAGAGGGGGGAGAGCCAGCCAAGGGGGAGCGGCGTTGACTGACAGACTCGAGAGCCAGTCGGAGCCCGAGGACGGGGAGAAGGGGTTAGAGGAAGGAGAGAGGAGGGAACGGGGCAGAGGGGAGGCAGATCACCTCTCTGCTCCCCACCTCCTCCCCCGACAGGAAGGAGGGGAGGAGTCGGCGACCGACACCCCTCCGCTGTCCTCCAGCCCCTCTCCCAAACTCCAGGACTTCAAGTGCAACGTGTGCGGCTACGGCTACTACGGCAACGACCCCGCCGACCTGGTGAAGCACTTTAGGAAGTATCACCTGGGTCTGCACAACCGCACGCGGCAGGACGCCGCCCTCGACACGCACATCCTGGCCCTCCACAACATGGCTCCCCAAAACACACCTCTAGGTAACTCCAGCTCTCTGCTCAACGTGTTCCACTTGTTGTGTAACATAGATTACATGGACCCAGAGCATCACAACTTCAGGCACTTAAAAAGAAAAGATTTTGTAAAGGTTGTTGTTCAGTACACTCCGGGTCGACCAGTTTATTGCAACAACAACAACTTGTTTGATTGTTGATCTAAACAAACAACCTTCTTCCCAGAAGTCAGACGTGTCCTTGGATCGTTGTGCCTCTGGCTGTCTGACCTCCTCTTTTGTTTATCTGCTTGTAAAAATCTGACCCCTTCTTGTGTTTCTGCTCCCAAGATGTACAGGCGGGACCGGGGCAGAGGAACCAAGCCAAAGAGTCGGGCAAGACTAGACCAGATATGCACATTCAGCAGCACAGGACCGTTATGATGAACGGAACATATGACGTACAGGTAAGCACTTGTCGCAGTTAAGAAATACAGATAAACAGATTCAATGCATACAGTACATGATGATGCCCGACTTCTTTTCACAAAGTGTTGAAAATGTAGTCATGCGGGCCACAGAACCTGCAAAGAAGCAGTAATAATTTATAAAGTTAGTTAAGAAGTTAAGAAAGAAAAAGAACATAGAAGCAACAAATAAACCAAAGCAACACAATGGTTCGTTTGGTGTGACAGCATTGTCACACCAAATGTGACAATCCTGTGCGTCCTGTTGTTACCTCCTCAGTCCAATCAAAAGCCTGCATTATTGGAGCCGATGGCCCGTAGTAACAGTCAGTTTGACAATCCTGTTCCCTGTCATGAGAAAGACCTCAACCTATCTGAAGTCGTCCACTTGGTGCACATGCTGTCGCCTTATTTTGTTTTTATCTATCGTCGTTCTTCTGCATGTTGACCGTGTTCTCAGATCTGTAGAACCTCTTCCTGTGAGCGTTATGCTGCAAACACAACTTTACCTGGTTATTGGAGTTCACGGACCAAGAAAGACTAAATGACATAAAAAAATGTAAAAGATAATGTGTCCCCGATGTCACCACACTGGTCTCATGGCAACAGAGATGTGGGCCCTTAAATATATCAAACGGGGAAGGCGACGAGCTTTGAAACTGATGCAATGCAGAACCACTAATGCATCTGTTTTACATCTTTGCATCTGCTTGTCATAAATACAAACAAAGGGCGTTCAGTTTTGTTAGAGAAAATTCTGAAAATATTGCACTCTTTTCACTATAAATATTACTTGTTGTCATAAATCTAGGCCCCTAACTGAACTGAGTAATTTATTGGGTCGAACAAACTACAACTGATTTGTAACATACGGTGTGTGTGTGTGATTTGGACAGTGAGGCATTGTGGGGGCATGTTGTAAAATTTAATAGACTCACAGATGGATAGACAGACACAGAAAAATAGTGCACCTGGCAGACTCGCATGTTTGCTCATGCACACACAAAGACATTCACACAGTCTGCTTCATATATCACGGTCAGCCATTGCCTATATGCCTGTACAGGTGCACAGCATGCATCCTAATGTTGTAAATGATGGCTAATAAATCAATATTCTGTGCTAATCCCTCATATTCAGCACTCAATTTTGCAAAAGAACAAAGTCCAGTATCTGATGGGAGCTACTTTGCAGGCTAAAGACGGGAATTTACCAAAGCTTCAGGTGCAATTCATAATTCCTTCAAGATAAGCGGCTGAACATATACTGAACGATGATTGAATTTTCCCTCAATTACCGCAATTATACTCCATCACGCCACATTAAAAAGTCAGACGTAATTTGCACCTGCAGTCTGGACATCAACAGATTAGACAATCAATTTGGGTTCTTGGATGATTTGGTTTTAGTTAAGGGATACTAATCAGTGAAATCAACAGCTGTAGACTTTGGTGAGTACAAAAACCTGCCAAGTCTCTGCTTAACATTGTACACGGTGTAATTACAGTAGACATTAAAGCCTCTGACACAATTATTTACATGTCGGCTGTATTTGCTATAAAAATGGGCATTTCTCAGCATGCACACACATTATTTATTGCCTCATGTAAACTCACACAGATCTTCAGAGTTTTGTTGTAGCTCTGATCTTTGACATTCACATTCAGAAACATGTGACTGTTAGTAAATGCCTGTATTGGAATATATGCACATATGCTTCATTGACTGAGTATTTATCTGTTTTTTTGTAAGGCAGCAGAATGGGCAATTTTAAATTAACTTTCAAGTGAGAAGTAGAAGTGTCTGTCAGACGGACCTCCAACAGCCCGTCATTAGACGGTCAGTAGGAGACATTGATGCTCTAATGTAGCAGCAAAATGAATCCGTTTACTTACAGAGTTGACATTTCAAGTTTTATGAATAGCTGCAATATGTTCTGTCCATATCTCGCGGGCTAATTATCAGGAATATATCATACTGATTAGTGGTTTTTAGTAGTTTGACAGGTTATCACTTCCCTCAAAGGTCCTGTCTATCAATAGTCAATATGCCAATTAACAAATTATTTTCCAAATAACAACATTGATACACATTGACCATAAATACTGAGGTCGAGTGTGCACATTCATTTTAAGTTTCTAAATTAGGTCTTTTAAGAGCATAAGTTGTAATTTCTATATTTTATCATTTCAAATCTGTTTTATTTTGTTTCATTTTTATTTTCATTTTCATTTTTCTGAATTCTGTGTTTCATGATTTAAGCACATTTTGTCATCAAAAAAGTGTCTCATCATGTGGCGGAAGTATCACATTTCATGAGAAAATATTCACAATTTGATGAATATTAATGATTTTAATGTAACACAACATTGCACTATTTTTTTTTTTTGTCAAAGAAAGTGATCTTTATATATATAAGTTATAAAAAAAAAAAAAAAAACATTCCATCCTTTTGTAAAATACATTGCTCTAATCTTAGCTGTTTCCGATTAAAGCTGAGTTTTTGGATGACTTACAGGTGACTCGTCCCCTGAGTTTCCCCTTAACACGTGTCTTGCGCTCTAATTGGCTGTCGCTCCCCGACAGGTCAGGTGTTTAAGCCTGCTATGTGATGCATCGCCGATCTGCTCGGCCTGCGCGTTTTAACAGCGAGCGCCGACTCATCTGAGGGAAGCTCCAAAAACTATATGCGAGTAGAAAACCTGGGCTAAAGACGTGTAGTGTGAACTAATGTAGCCACCTCAGAGGGCCACGCGGATATCATGGGTTGTAATTGGTTGTAATTGTAATTTTATGAATTGTAATTTGTCTGCACTTCAACCCGCTCCAGTTATTGGTAACAATTGGGTCAAGGTTCAGGACTGGTGAGTGAACAGTAGGGTTTTTGTTTGAGGGTTCAAACAAGATGATTTAATAAACGTGTAGGTTTTCGTACATTTGTTTGTGTGTGTGTGTGTGTGTGTGTGTGTGTGTGTGTGTGTGTGTGTGTGAGGAGTTTCATTTCACTTAAACCAGGAGTTTGTAATGGCCGTAAGTCACGTAATGGACACACACACACACACACACAGTCAGAAATAGAAAATCCAGTGGGTTTAAGTCGTCATTATGGAGAAAAAGTGAAAGTATAGAAGAAAAAAACCGAATGAAAGGGGTCTCTATTCTCTCCATCCCTCCTTGCTCGCTTTTTCTCTCTCCCGCCCACGTTTGGAAAATTCCATGTTGTCATTTGCTGAGGCGAGATGCCCTGTCAACCAATGACATTGCGGGAAGAAAGAATCTGGGAGGAGAGGGATAGAAGGAAAGAGCGAGCGAGAGAGAGAGAGAGAGATGGAGGAGGAAAGGGGAGAAGGGAGTGGAAGAGACAGCGAGGAAGGCTTTGAAACCAGTAATAATCGACAGTTAGGCAGTGTAATGAAACAGCTGTCAGACACATTTAACTTTCTTTTTCTAGCTCTGTTCTCCAGTTGTCTCTCTCATTTGTCTTTGTCTTTCCCTCACCTTCAACTCGGCTCTGCCTTCTTTCTTTGCTCACTCTTTCTTACTCAAATTCCCTTTTTCTTTTTTCTTTCTCTCACTTCTCAATTTGCTTTTCATCCATCTCTCGTCTATTCCTCAACTTGCACACTTTTCCCTCAGCTTGTCACACTCGTCCTCAGCCTCTCCTCTCTCTATTTCCCTCTCCCTCCCATGTTCCTCTTTGTGTCTCTCTGCCTATTCTGCTTGCCACGATGACTTGATGTTTGGCTCGTCTCTAATTGCCTGGGCAGGGTCTGTGGGACGTGATGATTGGATGATTGCTTTTGTGAGATCACACACACTAATGGCTCTCATTTAGCCTTCCGAAGTAATTCTCTTGCACAAAGCTGAAATGTACCATCTCACATTTTTTTATTACTTCTCGCACTCTTTTTGTAGGATGTATAAATGTTTTGCTCAGGCAATGGCTGTTAGTTATTATCATCGTAATTGTCCTTGACACTCAAAGAGACTGTAAGAGGTTATTGACCGAGATTTAATTGCAAAAAAGGAAAACAAAGCAATTTTCACAGTGTTATTCTCCCAAAAGTACAAAATTATGACCTGGATGCAATAATTAATTCATGAATAGAACATTTATTGTGAGTTTGCAACCATGTTCAAGAGTTAAAGATACATACAAATGTGTACAATAATTTGATAATTATGATTGAAATGAATCGTCATTTTCTCTGTAAAGATCCAGCTAAATGCCCTTATATGAAGAAGAAGATGATGAAACCATATGTCTTTGCTCACTAAAAATGCAGCTTACCAGTTGCATTTCGTTCTTGCCAAACCTCCATTACAAGGCTGCCAGCAGTCAGCACCAAACCACAGGTCCATAAAGCGATAAATCCATATTGTGCAGTAAGTCTAATGTACATATGTCAGTGTAAGACTTGCCAGGTTGCCTGCTCACCGATATAACAAGCAGCACAGTATAATCTCCCACAGTCAAGGAGCTAAGCTAATAAAAAGCAGACGAGTGTCAGGTTGCTCGCTCGGCTATACAAAATCTTGGCTTCATTGCATACCGCAGTAGAGCCTGATAGATATGTTATTAGTCAGTCCACTTTATGGATTATTCTTGCTGCTCTTTTATCTCGTACAAACAAGGGGTTGACGGCATTCATTTAAGTGTTGCTCCACACTTCCACACAGCCGCTAAAACGGCAAAATATGTGAACAGTACAGAATCCTCATTGCCTTGTAACCGAACGCATACTTTACTTTGTTCAAAACCGAAATCATCTCAGACACTTTTGTTTTTAACATGCTCTAATTGAGATGTCAGTTTGTCATCCATTATCACACCCAAATATCTAAGTTCAGACACTCTTTGATGAATGTATTCCTTGGTGGTTGCCGAGTCATGTTTCTTTGCCTTCACGAACGATCTTTCAAGTTTGAATCGTATGTATGATATGTATGATATTCGGGGATTGATTTTTAATCCTGTTGTGACAGAATCCTGTTCATCTTTTTCTGCTTGTCAACAGGTGACGCTGGGTGGCACGCTAATTGGTATTGGCCGGAAGACCTCTGATTGCCAGGGGAATACCAAGTACTTTCGCTGCAAATTCTGCAACTTCACCTACATGGGCAGTAATTCCCTAGAACTCGAACAACACTTCATGTCCTCTCATCCAAATAAAGTCAAAAGTCCGCCAACCACACCCCTGCTGGCCACCAATAACCTGGCAATGCACGACAACCAGGGGAAGGGGGGGGGTCAAATCCTAGACGGGGCGGAGAGAGTCGCGGTGAGAGCGGAAGACGACTCTTTGGTCGGGTACTCCATCCCAGTCAGGGCGTCTCCAGACCCGTCAAGCTGGACGGGGGAGACCGGTCGAGATGCCGTGCAGACGTATTATTGGTGTAAATTCTGTAGCTGGAGCTGTGAGTGGTCGGGGGGCTCGGCAAAGCTTTTAGAGCACTATGAACAAAGACATCGAATGACCACGGGAGGCACTATGAGCCCCAGCAACTCTACTCCCGGGGGGATGGACAGAGAGAGGGAGAGAGCAGGGGGACGAGAGGGTGGAGAGAGAGGCCACATGTCGTCCAAAAGCAGAAAATCAGATCTATCATCCAACCCATCCAGCACCAGCCAAGGTAAGGGAATGAGAGAAAGTATGGGGAAATGTGGTTCTGAACTTCTTTACATGCTTTTTTTAGTTGTGCAGCCACAAGATCAAGAGTAGCAACTTTAAATAGCAGTCTAATGATTTTTACTTCCTCTGTGATCCTCCTCCTAGAGCTGCTGACTTTTACTTATCCGCTGGTACAAATACTTCAATACTGCTTGACCCCTGCTTTGTTATCAACTCTGGTGCTTGATACTACCACACCATTGCTGTTTTATTTAACAGGCCCTTTGCTCTGTTTTCTGCTCCTAGGAGACCCCAACAGCAGTGATTCAGAAGCAGTCGTGACCAGTTACAACTGTCAGTTGTGTGATTTCCGATACTCGATGGCCCACAGTGCAGACGTGATCGTAGTAGCACCTTTACTACTGCACTACCAGCACAACCACTCCATCCACAGATGCTGCATTCAGCACTGCATGTATTGTCCACAGGGCCTCTGTCAGCCGCACAAGCACCTGGGGGAGGTGAGATTAATAAAATATTCAAATGTTTATTTGCTTGGTGTATTCGTGTTTGCTTGGCAATTAGAAGGATAATTGTGCTGTTTTGCAGGCCCAAATAAATACAAATGTAATATATGAACAAGTGTAAATTTAATTGTTCCAATTTTCCAGCCTAGTTAAAATTCCCTCGCTTCCCCTAATCTGCCCACGCACACCCCCACCCTCCTTTGTGCCTGCTGCCAAACGGCGCCGTTGCAGCTGTTCACCATCCTTCTTTTTGCATTTTTAACAGCCAAAATTGGGGTTGGCATCATTCAGTTAATGATCCACATTCATCCGGGTGTCACCTGCACAGACACAAAAACACAATCGCATCACAACAGAAGAAAACCAATTCTTGAAGTCTAAATTCACCTCAGGTGTGCACAGTAATGACTCAGGCGTGCAGAGATCCACGCTGCTCTTCACTGAGCTCTGTCTGACTCTTCCACACAGGTGTCTCACCCCTTTGCGTGTCGGAAGCCCACCTGCCCGAAATGCTGTTCCAAGTTCCCTTCGTCCACCAAGCAGCAGCAGCAGCAGCAGGACACCGTCGGATCGAAACCCGCCACCGGCACCTCGCCCGGCATGACCCCTCCCAACCCTAGAGGTGACCCCGGTGTGATTTCGGGATCAACGTTTAACGCCTCTAACCCTGTCCATCCCGTTGTCACACAAGGTATTCAAAGTTATACCTCATCTGTTGTATTTTTGTCAGAATATGTTCTGTTTTTCATGTCAATAGAGTCAACATGATCCTTTTTGTTGTCTGATCTCAGGCGTCACCCACTTGTGTGACCAGTGTGCGTTCGCCACCACCGACATCGACGTGTTGCTCCAGCACTACGAAAGCTGCCACTCCCTGATTAACCTGAAGGGGGCACCGCCACATGTCAAGGCTGAGGAAGAGGCTGGGGGAGACAAGGAAGGGGGGAGAGGAGGAGGAGGAGAGAGGGAGTACTCTTGTACAAAGTGTCACTTCATCACGGAAGTGGAAGAAGAGATTTTTAGACACTACAGGTAAGAGAGAGAGAGAGAGACAGATTAGAGAACATTGATTACATACTATTAATTGTTGTTATGAGATTATGTGTGATTCCACGTAATAGTGTTTTTTCACAGGGTTGACTCTTTGACATGAAAGGGTATAAAAACACTTAAAAGCACATAGGAAGTCTGCTATTTAGTCAGCACAAAACACAAGTAAAAAGTCACAAGTAATATGGAAACATAATGTTAATGTGTTAAAAAAACAAACATTGAGTTTGTCACCTTTTCTGAAGCAGGTGACTGAATGTGAAACTTGATTGCGTGTTATATTCAAGTTAGCATCTTTGACTAAATGTTCTGGATGACTGAGTATACAAAGAAATTCCTTCCTCAAGTCAGGGAGATGATACAGTATTGCTTGGTGCTGGGATTCAAGCACCTGTAGTTCTCTTTTTTTTTACACCTGATTACCCAGAACATGTTGACTGAGCACACTCATTTTCAGCAACAAGCCATTTAAAAAAAATCATATACCTGAGATGCTCACAGACACCATTTAGACATCCACACCTGGAAGCAACTCACACTTCATTTGATATTCACAGATTTGTCATCTTTCAGCATCACATACCTGAGTATCACCATACAGTGATGAGCTACACTTAAAACATTTTAAATTCCGTGGCGCTACACTTGTAAGTTTAGACGCTTTGAGACTATTTCCCCTTTTTTTGTCCGGAAAATGTATTATCTCAGTTTCTGTTTGCAGTATTTCAGTCTCTCGAAATTATCGCTCATTTTTGCCCATTTCAGTCTGGCGTTTATGACATTGCCTACTGACAGGGAGAGAAATCGTGTATCGCTCAAATACTGGCAAACAATATCAGCACCAGGTCCCATTACCTGCTGGGTTACCACGGGCTTCATCTAATCTTGGAATCAACTCTGAGACATGAAGCTGTGAGAATCTGGTTTTGTTCCTCTAGAAAGGATTTAAACAAGTGGCCTTCCATCACTGTCTTTTCAAGCTACCGCTGTCCTGTGACCCTACTGTGCTTTAAGTACACTTTGTATCCACTTCAACTACATGGGCCTGCAAAGCAGTACTCCCCCGATTTAGCATTGCACTCCGACATTGACGGAATACTTTACTCACTGACGGAAACGCGTTTTAAATATTACGGTTTTAGCAAAGATGCATATCTTTGGGAAGTAGTGAGCATCCCACTGGATAAATGAGGCTTTGATTATACTGCACAGGTTGTATGTGAGTTTGTCAACAGCTGTTTTGATAGACTTTTGCTGTTGTTAAACGCAGCCCCTCATTTACTTCAACTCATTTAGACTTCTCTCCATTTTTTGATTCTTCGTTCTGGTGCAAAACAAAACGTTCTTCAAGAATTCAAGCTAAGTAATTGATAGACTAATGGTCATTCTGTAGGTGAAGTATTCCTTTAATGGCGGACTTGAGATGGACAGTGAGATGGACAGTTAAGAAGGGAAAAAAAAAGGATCGCTGCAGGAGGATCAAAAATGTATATTTTCTTTTCCCTCATATTTTTTCTTTTTTGAAACATGCTGCCTTGCAAATTACCCATAATGCTACTTGCCCGGCTACATTTCAGTCAGAGATTAGGGTGTGTTTTATTACTTGCGGCAGATCTAGCCTCGAGCCGCTGGCCTCGAGCAAAGATTAGAAGCAGGCAACGAATTTCAGATTTTTTGTTTCATTCTCAAAATTTGTACTTTTCAGTTTTCCCCAACTGATGCAATTAGATTTCAGGCAGCTCCCTCTGGAGCCACAAAAGGCTTTATCCAACTTGTTTTACATATGCAGTAGTACTCGCCGTGACTCGTAAACAGACTTTGATCTGTGAAATCTGTGGTTATGCTCCATTTCAGAATACTACTAGTATTTTTTTTTTACTGACTATCCTTCCAAAGAGGATCAACCTGTCTTTTTCTTCTTTTTTTTGTTTTCAAAGGATACTAAACAGTAAAATATTGTTGTGACAGAAGGAGGAGGAGATGGTGAGAGAAGGGATGGAGATACAGACAGAAAGGAAAGCAAGAAAGAAAGACAAGCCATTGGAGGAAAAGGGGAGAAAGTGGAGAGAAGAGGGAGAGAGGGTGACAAAGCTAGAGGGAGAATGAGACAGCCTGGAGGGGATTTAACAGTCCACTCACGTAAATAACTAAATCTAAGCTCTGAATCTCGGAGCTCAAATCAAATATAACTGAAATAAAGCCAGAAAGTTTCACACCGCTGCTAAAATCCACCAAACCTTAAAGGGCAAGTTTTTGAAAAGCAAAATGCAGGATTTAATTACAGGTTGCTCAGGACAAAGGCGTTTGGTGGAGAAAAAGTTACCGGCTGAAACAAACTAATCAATCTTCCTTCCAACTTCTACACCCAAACACCCTCGCTGAGGTTTTGACACTTGTGAGGCACAGACACACACCAGCAAGAGCCTGCTGACACGTTACCTTGTGATAGCTGAGAATGTGCATCACACAGTATCATTACAACACGAGTATTTATTTGGCTATTTATGTTGCACTGCTGCAAAAAAACAGACCTTTAGAGATGTTTTCGTACCAAAAACAGACATTCGTATTGCATTACATATGGGATGCCAGTTCACTGTTCAAAAATAACTTGAATACTATGTGTCCGCGTTGTTACTTTTCATAATTTGTTGAATGTTAGACAGATGTAGCTGTTGTAAGTCTTCAGGCCAAACCTGGAGTGGATCAGTACAAACTTCATTTCGGCCACTGTGTCTTTGTTCAGCATCTGGAGACGTTTAAGTGCACTTGGTACAAGGTGCCCTTTAGTCACACAATAATTGTCACAAATTTCGACAATACCTAGACTAGTGTGATCTGATCAAGATGCTGTTTAAAGCCCTGTTGTTATATATATATATGTGTGTGTGTGTGTGTGTGTGTGTGTGTGTGTGTGTGTATATGTGTGTGTGT